GGGCGGGGCCGGGGGGATGCTGGTGGGTTGTAGCAGGACATTGTTGGCTGTTGCTTCTTGGTATGGTCTCAAAGGGTCCGTAGCTGTAGACGTGATTATGTACTCTATAGTTCAAAGCTATTGTGACCTGATTTTCACGTAGTGTTTCGTGTATTACAAGTTTATTGCACCAAGAGCTCACATGGCTTATTAGCCTTGGCCATTCTCATAGTATAGAATCGACCCGGATGGTGTATTACTGCAGGGCAGAAGTATACACTCAGAGAACCAGCATCCCCCCGGCCCCGCCCCGCCCCGTCGCGGCGCTTCGCGCCGCGCCGCGACGGATGTTCATCTTCGACACCGAGGTCCTCGCTCCGCTCGGCCCTCGGCGTCCCAGCGCGGGCGCGAAGCGCCCGCGCAACTATGTTCGGCGCGCTACGCGCGCCTCACGGCTATGATTCGAATGCGAGGGACGTGAAGACAGGCTTTACTGCCGCGTCGAGTGTGCCAGCGGCCATCACCAAGTGCTCGGCACTTCCCGAGACCCGCGAGGGTTTGCTGCCGGGATTCCCGGAACGGGTCCCCCTTGCTCCTCCCACATCCTTTCGTCCGTGACCGCCAGGACCCTCCAGGGTGCCTACGGGGAGGTAATCATTAGCTCGAATCACGACCTGTTTGGCATGTCTCTATGTAATAAATATTGTGTCTCATTCCACCGAAAACCCGAACGGCCCGTGTGTAGTACGAACATATCGCACTTGCATGTCAGCCGCTCGCGATCGCCCAAGTGTAGCAAGGTGTCGAGAATATATATTGTTCCCCCGTACGACGTTCAAGCCTTTCAGCCAAGCTTCAAGGTGCAGTGGCACCTCGGATCATGACTAGGCGAAATCAGGCAACCGGCCGCTCTCACCCAGGCATAGATGTTCGGAACGTCCTCGCAACAGATCTCTATTTCAGGCGCAGGGCGCTACAGGACGCTGCCAAACAGCCGATGGGATGATGCAACAAACGCCGCCTGTCTCGGAACCCACCGCTTGACTCTCGCACCCATCATCAGGCAGCCCATGTTGACTCACCCTACTGGCGATAAAGCGGAGCTAATCGCCGCTCTGGAAGGTCTATTCGCGAAATATTTCAACGAGAAGGATGAGTCTGCGAAGGAGAAGACGCTGGAAGACAAGTTCTGGGGGACTTACCTGAGGTCTATGAAGGAGGAGGACGATGCGCTCCCTAAGGATTGGGATGGTGATACTGGAAGCATCTTGACATTCGTGCGTATTCTGCGTTATAGGCAAGCTCACTACTCTGACGCTACACGCTGCAGACCGGTCTCTTTGCTGCGACGGTAGCGGCTTTTCTCATCGAGAGCTACAAGACACTTTCCCGCGATTCCGGTGACCAAACCGTCGTACTTCTCACTCAACTACTTGCCGCAACGAGGAATGCATCCTCGAACCCTGTCAATCCCACTCCGTCTGCGTTCAGCGCCTCTCCTTCAAATGTCATAGTCAATGCGCTCTGGTTCTGTAGCTTGGCTATCGCTCTTGCATGCGCTCTCTTGGCGACTCTTGTACAACAGTGGTCTCGAGACTATGTCCGAAGCATCAACAGGCGAGACCTTGACGGGGACATCGCCGGACGAGCGCTAAACCATGTCTACATACGGATGGGCGTTGAGCGTTATGGTCTTGGGGGAGTCGTCAACCTCATCGTTGCTCTCGTACACCTCGCCGTCATCATATTCGCGGCCGGCCTCTTAATCTTTCTTTTCCCCATCAACGACATCGTATCGTGGTGCACTCTCGTTGCACTTGCCGTATTCGGCCTGGCCTACGTCGTTGCCAGTGTGATGCCCATATTTGACGCGAGCTGCCCTTATCGCACACCTTTAACATATCCTCTGGACTTGATCTGGTTGCTTGGCCAGTTTACATCCAAGGTCTCTGTGCGGTCAGCGAAAAGATTATACCTGAAGTGGATTCGTCGATGGATTCGTAAGATACTTCATAAACTAGGGGCCAAAGCAGCGGGACCTCGCGACACAATGTCGACGATCACCCCCCACTATTCTGCCCAGTTTCAGACATGGATACCCTGGGATCACATCCCAGGAACAAGGGTTTCTCAATCGATTGATCAAGTACACTCGCTCGAAGCGCCTCTGAGGAGTCGTGCGCTGTCGATCTCTTTTATCGTTACGAGCATTCAACGCATTAGATCATCTTTCTCTGGCATCATCATGCAAATTTGGGAGAAAGGTGAGGATCTGCGTGACCTCTGGCCCTCACGCATGTCTGTCGCTCGAAGACGGAGAGAGTACCGGCGATATGAAGTGCTTTCGTCACTTGGGCGCTTCACATTCCTTTGGAAACGCACCGGCCGTCATATGCTCTGGGGAGAGCCAGACAGTCTCGACGCGTTGCTTGCCTCGCTACTGCATATCTTGGGATCGATGAGGGAGGCTAGTGATCGCCTAGCGTTGATTGAATATCTGCAGGACTCTTCGCTCGTCGTACTTCGTCTGGAAAGTTTGATTCTACGTGATTTCCCCAAAGTCGATAATGGCAGACGGATCGCAGCCCTGAAGTTGATTTGTGCCTTGGCGCAAACATTTTATACATCAGGACACGATCTTCAATCTTTTTCGTCGTCAAGCGCCGAATGGAGGTTTACGGATTGCATACTCGTCATGTTCGCTACCCCCGTCATACCTTTCGATACCTCAAAACCTGATCGCGATGTCACCCAGATGCATGGTCCAGCAGCATTCCTCGTTATGTTCCATCTTCGCTGGTTCTTAATGACCGAGGCCCATCGATCCCTGCGGGGGCTGGCAGAAGGACCGGTCAATCTTGATCTCATGAAGTTCAACCCGTTGTACTTTCCAGATGACCACAAACTGAGTCAGCACCGGCGGTGGGACTTGTTGACTAGTGACGTTCGACTTCTCAAACATCCGAGGGCATCATTGTTGTTACTGAACACTCGCACGTGGGACCCCGTACAGGATGTCGGCTTGTCTCATTTCCTTGAAGGAGAAGAGGATGCTGAATCTTGTCTGCTTCCCCTCCACGATGGAGAATGCTGTCGTAGCCGGGATGGTCGTTTAGAACACGTAGCGGCGTGCATGATCCTGACGATGCTCGCATATCTCCTGCGCGTACCGGACGAGGATCGGGATAAGCTGATGCAAGAGCACCTCCGCGACTATAGCAAACTCTGGGATCATGGGCTTTCCTTCACAAGATGGGATCATACGTTCGAGATGAGCGCGCAAGATCGTCGATATGAGCCGTCCAAGGCATTCCTCTCTGTCTTGCGCGAAGCTGGGCTTGAGGAATGGCTACGGCCGGGCCGCGGTACCGCGTTCTTGCCTCCAACCAATACGCCGCTCGGCCAGTTCCTCATCACTCCAGTGGAAGGAGCGCGCCAATCGTGGGAAACGCCGGCAACTACAATCGCCGATATGCTTCGCGTCCTGATGGAGCATGTAGATATGAGTGCGGTCCACTCTGGTCTACCTGAGAGCTTCCAATGGCTTCTCTCGGATGCTTCAGTGCCGGACGACCTTGCAAATGAGGGTGGAGATCAACTGCACCCTACCAACAAACACGACGAGATAACGGTACCTTGTGACGCGCAAGGAGACCCTCAAGCGACACTCTGCGGTCCAGTACACCCGCTACGGCACAGAGGCAGTGGGTTATGTCTAGAAGAAGTGGTCGTTCACTCGGCTTCGGGTGTTGCGATGGAGTGACAGTGCAAACTGGCGGCCGAGGAGATCAATGACATATAAGGATAGCGTATCATTAGAAGAAAGGAGCCATGTAGTACTTATAGATGAGTCCCGCGCTGAGCATTGCGCATTCGTCGCAGGAGAGTCGTGATACGCATGAGAGACCAGCATAAACCGATCCCTCGCGAACGCTCGTACACAGCACAAGACACGAGTACAGATGACATGGCTCATGCGCAACGTAAGCCATCGTGTGTATGAATATACGCGAGCCTTGGGGGCATGAACCAAGGTTGCTTGATGCGCATCATAGGCGTCCGGTCTATCGGTCCGAAGAACTCCGAAGACGCGTGCGGCGTGCAGAGCGCGAGACGGGCCGGAAACTTGAACACAACGACCACCTCGCGCTCAGTCAATACAGTAGTCATGGCTCGTACATACACGCATTTAAGACAGCGCGAGTCTGATGCCGCGTGTATACCAGCATGATACTGCTTGGGAATCAGCCACGCCATTGACGGTTGCGTCTCACCGCCGCCTTCGGTCGACGTGTCCTCCAATGGATGTCCGCTGTGTCCCTACTCGTACATCTGAAACTGATAGGTTAACGCTGACGGAAGACTCTAGTAAAGAGCGACCTTCATGTTGACACCACCGCATCCCGTCAGTATCTATCCACGCAAGAGAATGCACTTACCGACGCGTCAAGGCCATCGCGTGGTGGGAAGGAAGGTTAGTGTCCTCTCATGGAAGCACAGGGATCACCTGCAACTTCTCCGAGGACTCAAGGCGGTATCGGATGGTCAATCGCTGTTTCTGATCGTTCTGTTTAGAGTCCAGGTCAACTCCTCTCACAGCTTATGCCACGCTCTACGCAAGAGGGATCATGCATCGCGATATCAGTGCCGGAAACATGCTCCTCCCTGAGGGCCCTCAAGTCTGCGGCTTCTTAATCGACCTGGAGTGAGACCGATCTATTGTCTGCGCAGACATTGGTGCACGATGTTGACGAGCACCCTAGTATCTCTGATGTTACCAAGGAACTAGGCGTACCTCGGAGATGTTGGCAACTGTGCGTCATACACTATTTACCGTAGTCCAAATTGAGCATTGATACTGACGACGACTGCAAGGGTACTCCAGGGTTCATGGCCATCAGCGCCCTCCAAGCGATTCCCAGGAACGGTACTCTCACGTACTACGCGTCTGACGACCGTGAGTCGCTTACCTATGTGCTGGGCTACATCATCATCTGGCGCTACGTAAACGAACAGAACCCCGCCATGTGCGAAAGCTTGAGGGAGATATACCATGAAGCTTTTGGACAACACCTCTCTATCACGAGAATTGTCAGCAATAGAAGGGCCGTTTTTATCGACTGTCACCCCGTATGTTGGCTACCGAACCTGCTCAACCCGACGTGCGAGACTCCAGCGGAGGACCAGAAGCCTCGACAGGAACAGTTGTTCTGAACATGATGTGCGGCCACCTTCTCAAGGCCAGTTGTCAGATTGTTAGAGGTCTGCGGTTCATGTATATGGGCACAATCGAGGCGCGTTTGAATGCGGAGACGAAAGAGGAGCGCTTAAAGGCGATCTTTAGTCATGAAAGGTTCGGTGGTTTATTTGATGGACGCAATCACGGCTTTGGAGAAGGACGACCAGCGTGTACCTTCCACGACACCATAGTAGTCATTATTGTAGTCATTATTGCTACGTATCAACTTGATGTAACCAGACTTCTCGTCCTTCTATCCCTAGGCGGAGGCGGAGGCGGAGGCGCGAGCGGTAGCTTAGTCGCGGAATTCACCAGCGAAATTATCGTGGGTCGGAAGAAAGCAGCTCACGATGGTCCGGAAGTGATTGAGTCTGAGCGTAGATATTCTTCTGGACGCATGTTCCCGTTGTTCACCCGCGTGAATCAATACCGGTACTCGACGCTGGTGTTGATAGGGTGTGATCGAGAGAAGTCGGGGGCCACGCGCGGTGCCGCGGCTGTGATGCAGGCAAACACTCGCAAATAATGGAGCACGTGTAACAGTAATCCCTGTTCGAATTCGTTGTATAGTGCGAGGGTTCAGGAGCTGACGCGCAAGGCATACTTTTGGATAGGGGAGGGTGAGTGGCGGGAGAGCGGCCTCCCATCTCAGTACAGAGTCAATCTGGGGGCCATGGGGTGGTGGGAAGTCGGTGGCGCGTTGCGGGATGTTCGGGCCGACGTTGAGAAAGCTGCCGGGCCCCACACCACAACTTGAGCAGAACAATCATCTTGTGTTCCAACAACGGGCGTACTTCTCTGACTCTTGTTCTCGAAAGGGTTAGTGCGTGAACCTGTCGTCAGAGAACAGCTACAGAGTACAGCATTGACAATCTAAACTAATCTTTTTTCCGTATCCAGACAGACATCTCGACTTCACAAGGGCTACTTCAGAATACCGTTTGTTCTCGATTGTGCTCCCATGGATACATGCTGTGCCCCCTATAGCACGTTTCAACAGGCTTCGGGTCTCACGGAGGAAGAGGAACAGTATATAAATGAGATTGGTGAGTATCCACTCGACTCAAGCAACAATCTCTCTCTCGACGCACTCTCGTCTAGCTACTCGCATACGCTCCTCTCCTATTCGCTCCAACCTCATCTGCCATCATGGCTTCACCAAACATTTCAGGCGTCGCTGATCCTTCTCCTCATCGTCTTGGAGGTATCAACTATAGTTACAATACCGCCTCACACCACAGTCGAACTGTCTTTGGCGAGCAGTTCCGCAACAAGCCTGCTACTCGCGCAGGTGCTCCCGAACCTCCGAAGCGAGTCGTCGTCGAAGACGGTTCCGACGACAAGAGCCAGGTATTCTCGCTTCTTGGCCTTACCGGTGGTGCCCAAGCGCCCCTCGACGTTATCCAACGTATCGTTGAGAAGGTGTTGGAGCTTGACGCCCTCGAGGAGCTGGTTAAGCTTCAGGCCTCGGCACCTGTGACTTCCGGTGCTGACATGACATCCAAACACGAGACTCGGATGTATCCGCATATTGTGAGTGTCTGTATACTGGTAGAGTTCTTTGATTCTTGACTGATACTGAGCTATACAGACCTCGATCATGAATGTCGTCGCCCAAGCACCAGTTGCGGGATCGCGCGGGCGCAAGTTCTTTTGTAACGGAGAGAAGCCCGTCATCTTCGATCTGGATGAAACGCCGGCTCGAGGTCTGAAACCTGACATGCGCTGTGCGATTGATGACTCTGATAAGCCCATCTGGCGACTGCTCGACGCTTGGGGCGAGGTGAAGGCCTCTTCCTCAGAATACCCCTACAGGGAGGTCACTGAAGACGGCAGGAAATCTCACGTTCTCACGGATTTCGGTACTCAAGCGACTCATTACGCGACCATGCATCTTTCTGGGACGCCTTTCCGGTTGTTTTCATTTGGACTTCTGATATTTGGGCGCAAGTTCTGTGTTGTCCGTTTCGATCGCGACGGCGTCATCTTCTCGCCCATTCGCGACATGAAGGACGACTTGAAGACGTTCGTGCGCGTCTATTATGCATTCGTGCACGCAGCGTCGCCGCTGGCACTCGGATTGGAGCCCGGTGTTGAGTCCATCGAACTCCCCGACATCCGTGGCAATCTTCCGCCGTCGAAGGACGGATTTGACCGGCATTATCGTATACCCCCTATTCAAGGGGACGACGAAAAACGTTGGTGGATCTCTGTCGGTCGGCCACTCTGGGTGTCGAAGTCCATCTTAGGTCGCTGCACTTCTGTCTGGATCGTATATCCTGCCAAAGAAGATAAGGGCAAGCTTCGTGTAGACCCGACGCGAGCATATGTTCTCAAGAATGCCTGGAGGAACAGTGCCCGCGAGCCCGAGTCTTCCATCTACACTTGGTTCATGGCCAACGGGACGATCGCTGGCGTGTCCAGTCTACTCGTCGGGAGTGACGTCACCGGTTCGGACAAAGCGGTCGTTACTGCGCGCCACCTGCGTGGGGAAACAGACGATGTCTTCACGACGACGACGACGACGACGGCCACCCTCCACCGCCTGATTCTGAACGAAGTTGGTGTACCGCTGTGGAAGTTCAAAACCCATCTCGAGCTCCTACGTGGGTTCAAGGCGGCGCTGGACGGTCAGTACTTCGGACCTACGTGTACTGACTATCTCACTGACCACTCTTTCAAAGGCCATGCCGCACTCTTCGCGAAGGGTATGATCCATCGCGATATTAGCGCGGGTAACATCCTTCTCTCTGAAGACCCTAACGTCCACGGTTTCCTGTCCGACGTCGAATTCGCCTGGGTCTCACAGATTGCCAAAGCGGAGCCTGCCAACGCGCACGACAGTGTTCCCGAGAACCAGAATGAATACGTGCAGCAGTACCGAGCATACAACTCTAGGAACCCCGGCGTCGTACCCGCAAACATCGAACGACCCGAGCGCCACATTTTTGTTGACGCCAAGCGCGGTGCTGAGATGACGGTATGTTGCATGATCGGCTTGATTCGCAACACGTATTGATGACGACACCGCGCCTCTAGGGCACCCAACTATTCATGGCGGTTGACATCCTCCAAGCGATAACTCTGAATGCCCAGCTCAGACACGGTGTTTATCATGACATCGAGTCGTTCACGTACGTCCTAGGATACACCGTCATCAGGCACTACGAAAGCGACCCCAAGACCGACGCCGTGGCACGTAAATATCTGCAGAAGATATACCGTGAGGCGTTCGGCCACGTCTCCGTCGAGGCAATAGAGCGAAGCAGGAGGGCCATCGATACGGCAGAGCATCCTTTGGGCTGGCTATCGCACCCCTTCAAGGTGGTCGCCGGGAAAATAGACGAGGGCATTCCCAAGGCGCCTTATGTACTCTTCCGGGAATGGTGCGAGAAGACGTTCGCGCCCCCGTTCTTAACGCTCTTCGCGGACCTCAGGGACATGCACATCGACGCGAGCGCTGCCCGTCAGAAATCGAAGTCCGACGGCGAGCTTCGCGGGAAACTCGAGGAGATCTTCAGCTACGAAAGGCTCGGCGGGCTGCTGGAGAAGGCGATTCAGGGTTTGGAGGAGGCGGCCGAGTGATTCGCTCAAGCAGCCCGCGACATCGCCTCCTGAACGTGCAACATGGCCAACCCTGGCAGGGGCGTGGCTACTTCAAGTTTGTGATGAACGAATATGGACTCTTTCAATTCCCCTGTTTGACTGGCTGAATGTGTCGTGCTGCTTGGACCTGGCCCATAGCAGACCCACGATCGGATAGATTTTCTGTGTATTTATGGACGCTATAGTATACCCACTTGAATCCACTAGCTGTCCTATCTCGTAGTTCTGATATGTACTTTTGCTTCTGAATGTGCGGGGAACACTGCGAAGGTAACTCGGGCGCGCAAGATAGTCACGGTGGCGGGCAGGAGCGAAGGAGCATGTACTGGCAATCAGCTATCCTGTCCCGTACTCTCGGGTGATAATGCACCGGTGTTGACATGTTCATTGTAGGACTCCCGTACAGGAATGATGGAATACGGTACTGAACAGAAGGAGTATGACGGCGGCGGTCGCTGGGAGTGTGGTGAAGGTACGCGAAGAGCGCCGCGCGCGCTACATACATCGGGCTGACCCCGGCATCGCGTCTGCGACCGAAGCGGGCCTCTCGCGCGACGTTCGACTTCCTCTTCACACCCGTGGACTGGTCAGTGTTTCGTCGTGGTCACTTACAGACTAGTGCGCCTGTACGATGACTCGGTTGAACTGGAACATCGCGATGCATATACTGCGGTGCGGGTACTTATAAGTACGCGCCTCGGCCGTCAGTCAAGGATGCAATGGCCGCGCGCGCAGTTGAGCAACTGACGAGGACGAGTTGGGCGGACTTGACTGAGGAGCTTCTGCAACCGGAGGTGACGTCGAGCTCGAATCGGAGGGGAAAGGGAAGATTGTTCGCTGGATACTAGGGTGACGCCGTGGGAGCCCAGGATAGTATACGTAATAGACAAAGCGCGGCGGCTCGAGTATAAGTAGCCCATACGTTATCCAGTATCGCGTGTAAGGGGTTTCGTCCAGTCTGTACTGCACGCGATCGCATGAGATGTCGAACTTCGACCCGCCATCCATTCTCGTGTATCTATGAACGGACGTGATCGTGCTCCCCCCGGGCCGAGTCGCATCCGCAAGAGGGCATTGACAGCGTCGCGCGATTCACGAGCACACATGAGCGGCACAAGCAGGTCAAACCCGCACATCGACATCCATGAGCGATGTCGGCCTGATGACGGACGGGAACCAGAAGCTGACGCGCGACAACTGCTTGGGCGGCATCACACTAACCCTAACCTCGACGCAGCTCAACGAATCCGGCCCTCTCGCAGAGTGTCCATCATCACCGGCCGACACAACGTCTTAAAAGAGAGGAAAACACACACACAGAGATAACATAGACATTGTAATGACCCATCAAACAACTCACGGGTCCGGAGGCTGGGCAGGCGGGGCAAAAAAGTATCACGTTCAAGAGTCACGGGCTGGGCTGGGTTGGGCGGGCGAGGGTGGGGGAGTACAGATGTTTCACGTTCGGGGCGTTGGCAGGGTACGATGACGGGGGGAGATATGACACAACTAATTTGAGGAGGAGGTAGAGGTAGGTAGGACTGGGGTGAGAAGGGCGTTATAGAGGAGGCGGGAGACGGGCGGGCGTAAGGTGAAGAGCAGAAGGCGAAAGCAACGTCGAAAGCGGGGTATCCCAACAAAGACAAACACAGCCAGAAAAGACAGAACCACAGAGACCGTCAAGGGGGCTACCTCTCCTTCCGTCCAGGCGTAACAGGCCGCGGCGTGCCCACCCCCGCCTTGCGCGGCGTAGGCGGCGGCGCGTCCCTCACAGCCCTCTGCGCCAACCCCGCTCCCAGCCCAAGTCCCACCCCGCTCGCCCTAACCCTCGCAGCCTCCCGCGCGGCCCTCCGCGCCGCATCGTCCACACTCTCCGGCGGCCGTCCCTGGTCCGCGACACTGAGCGCCCTCAGCATCCTCATCGGGTCCTCCTCTCCTAACCCCACATGCGGCGGTGCGAGGGATGTGGACGATGTTGCGTGGTGCGGGTGTGGGGGTTGGGGCGCGGACATGGCCATTGATAAGTCCGCGAATCGACACGAGAGTTCCAGATCGACCGCGGACTGTAATCGCGCGCCGATATTGATGTCTTCCGCCAGCGCGTCGGCCATATGCCTTGCATGGGCTAATCGCGGATCTGGGGGTGGGAGCTCGCGCGGTGCGGAGAGGACGTCGAGGACGGTCTGCACGCCTGGGCGGAGGTGCGGCGGGACGAGGGCAGGGTCGGGGAGGGAGGAGGGCGAGGCGCGCTGTTTGCCTTTGTCGGCGAGGCGGCGGGCTTCTTGTTCGGCGTCGAAGCTCGCGCGGAGTTTATCGTAGAACTTGTCCGCTTCGATCCACGCTCTGTCTTCCGCCTCGGCTCTACAAAAAAGATTAGATATGATTGGGGCGAGGGAGGAAAGGGGGAGCGCACCGCTCGATATCAGCCGTAAACCGCGCATGCCGCGCCCGATTCTTCTCGTTCTGCTCATTCGCATTGAAGTCCTTCCCGATCCACCGCTCCGTCGCAACGCCCCCGCCACTCCCGCTCACATCGACCCTCTTCTCCGCCAGGCCCTTGATAGTGCCCTCGATGACCTCTCTGAGTAAAGCTGTGCGCGGCGGGTCTTTGCCGGAGGGCGCGTCGGACGAGAGCTGGCGCTTGAGTGTCCACTGGAGGAGCTGGGACATGCGGAAGGCGTCGGGCTGGTCGGGGTCGATGTGCGAGTAGAAGTGGCGGCCTTCGACCGATCGGTGCGGCGTAGCTGTCCATTGATCAATATATTACTCGCGGGGAAGATAAAGGGACGGACTGATGACGCTCGAGTCGCCGCCCATGCTCGCGCGCTTGCCCTTGCCCACCGAGCTTCTCCGCGCCCGGTTTTTCGGCGTACTGGGACCCGCGACCGGCTCGCCGCGCATCGCCCTGTTGGCCTCTATCCGCGGCGTCTCGCGCGGCTCGAGCGGCATGGTGATATCCGTGTGCGCTCCCCCATACGCCGAAGATGACGCGCGGGAGATGTCGCGGTCCTCGTTCTCCATCGCGCGCACGTCCCGCGCCATCGACGCCTCGTCTTCCCCGTCCTCCTCTGTGACAGCCGCCAGCGATCGCTCCTTGCCCTTGACTCCGTTAACTCGTGATTGGGACGGGGAGGGAGAGGTCTTCTGCTTCTTCGCGGGCGGGGGCGGCGAGTGCGACATCTCGCTGCTCGCGTCTGGGCCGGGCGGGCGCGCGTTGTTCTGGGACGAGGACGGCTGGGACGACGTCTCGCGCCGGAAGATGAGCCCGCTCGGCACTTTGATCTCGCCCTCGCGCACTATCTCATCCATTTCAGCTTCATACCTCACATCTATACAAGTATTGTGTACGCACGTTTACGCTTATTCGTGGTGGGACCCTGCGTCAGCTTCTCATTGAACTTTTGTATAGAGAAAGAGTAAATGGGGGGCGCACCTCTTTCCTTGGCCTCTTCTGCGCCGACGGGCCGGGCTGGCTCTCCATCTCCGCCTTTCGTTTGACCGGCGCTTGGGGCGGCATATACTCCACGACACCTCCACCGCGTGCGCGTCCAGCTTGAGCTTGCTTGGGTAATTGTCTGAGGTAAGAGGGGGAGGCCGGCCGGACCGGAGGGGGCGCAGGAGGGGCGGGGAGAGCGCGCGCGCGCGGGTCGGTGGGCGGGAAAGGTCAACAAGCGCGAGTGGCCGACACGTGCGGATACGCGGAGGGTCGCGGTCGCGTGATCTCGTTGATCGGGTTCGGGCTTGCTCTCGAGCGTCCATCATCAAGCGCTGTGTCCGTACTCGGCGCGCTGAGCGTTATGCTATGAACTCGCGATAGGTGCTTACCGACTACGCACATAGACTCTCTCTGGGTCTGAAGCGAGGATTCCTCCCGCAGAAGCCATGCGCGGGTCGTCGATCACGCTCGAGCGAGCTTCTGTCTTATCGCGCGACGCGCACTCGCACTCGATATCTCGAGTATTTTACGAGGGTCCGGCTCGCTCGTATACGCTGGTGTTGAGAGCCTTACAGGCGCGCATTGACCATCAAGCGCCACACAGAGTCAACATTCGACTCGATCGGGTCCTCCCTCCACTACTTGAATGGTCGCGGCGCACACGCCGAAGCGTGTATCATAGCGATACTGACTTAGACTATGACCGCCCCCGCTCTTGAAGTCATCGGCCCAGGTGCCGCAGACTCCGAGAGTCCTGCGGCGGGTACGCTACCCGATAGGTCTGGTCGGTCGTGAGAAGAACCTGTCCAAGGTGGCGCGCAATGTCGAACACGGAATGCGTCGACACCACTTGGGGTTCTGGTCACCACTACCGTCTCTCATCATCATATCCTCAGACAGGAGCATAGCGCTGGCTGACTGAGGCTCCCTGTCAACAAGCTACCCGCAACGCGCCATTATCGGCTGGCTCGAGCCCAACAAGGACAACAATGGATCTCCCTTCGCCGTCTTCACCCCAGCCAAATGTCCCTTCCCCGCTCAATCCTACCTTTACCCATAACACCGAACTCGAGGCCAAACTGGCGCCGTTCTTCCGCCGCCAACGCCTCGACCTTGCTATCGCAGTAATTCTGCACGCCCTAGAAACGACGTCGGGGTCGAGGTCGAGAACAATCCCCTCGCACGAGCAGGTCGAAAGGATACTTCGCGAGCACCGGGATCTCGAAGAGATTGCCGTGCGGGCTGTTTTAGTCACGCAATCTGATGCGGAGCTGTCTGGTGCGTGGTTGAGTATGTTTGTGTACTGTTGCTCGTCGGTTTAACGTGTGTGGTAGACCGCCTCGCGAGTATACCCTCTACGACCCTATTCCCACCACCGCGGGATGATGATAAGTGGGAAGATGACACGGACTTCGTTGGGATGCGCGGTACGCGTTCCTAGTCTCGTCATGCGCTGCGATATTGACCATGGCGTGATAGCGACGCTCGAGTCTTGGAGCCGTCCATTCCGGGGTACCGCACACGAAGCCTTATGGGAGCATATACAAGTCTATTCGGCCAGTGATCACTCATACCGTCCCTATACCGCCATTGTTCAGTCGTCGGGGACGGGCAAGTCGAGGTGTGTGGATGAGCTGGGCAAGCGGCAGCTGGTGATACCCGTCAATCTACGCGATCCTGAGAGCAAGGGTACGCCCTGCCTCTACCTCGAACTAGTGCACATCCGCTGAAAGGCGTTGACATGCCAGGCTTCCCCGCATCGGACAAATCAGTGCACAACTACCTCGTCAAAGATCTGACATCTTCAACCGATATCGCGATCCGGATGGACGCCTTTATATACGCGCTACTGTACCATCTACGCAAAGTCATTCTCGAGAGATACATGACCGACTCTGAGGATCCAGCGGACGCCGAAAGTCTTCCTCTGTTTATACACGACTTCATGACCGACGGGCAGACCTTCGCTACGCAAGGTCCTGCAAGGGTCGGTTTCTATTCTGCCGTGGTGGCTTGCGCAGAAGTATATCCCCTCAATCCCTTCTCTGCGACGTTGTTGCTCACGTGGCAACTTTGGATAGGAGCTCGAGAAAGACGCGCAGAAGGCGTCGATTGAACAGCAGGGACACCCTTCGAATCCGCCCCAGATCAGATATCCGTCGCCTCTGAGTCGCGAGGGTAAGCACACATTGACCTTGCTATCGTTCGTAGCGGCTCACAGTAACAAACACATCAGGGTGCGAAACGACACGAGATATGGCGCGCAAACTCGTCGAGGCGTGCATCGTAGCCGGGCATAACCCCGAGTCGCATCTAGCGGTCATCATCGCGTTCGACGAAGCGCATCATCTCGACAGGGTCCAAACCCGCAAGCGCTCATCGACTCCGAGTCCGTTCGACCATCTGCGGCGTACACTGCGTACCCTACGAGGCTCCCTAGTCTACTCCTTGTTTCTCTCTACGACATTCAAGTTGAAGATGACCCAATTCGCGGCACCGGATCACTCGCATCGTCTGTCCAGCGGTGCTCTGATCGACTCGCCCCCGTTTACTGCGCTAGGCTGGGATTACCTGGCAAAGCCGATACCCAACTCTCGCGAGGGGATCGACTTTGGCGATATCGGGCCTGATTGGCAGGTCTTCCTCGGACGCCCCATGTCAGTCCCCTTTGCTCATCGTCCATCTTATCGTTCGGTTGATGTGACTTGATGCAGGTGGGGAAGCCGCTACGAAGCGATTCTTCGCAGCGGAAGTGGAAGTGGAATGGACATGGCTTACGCGCTTGGCGACGTCCAACGCTTCGCGACTTCGAAGTTGCTCTGTCTCGAGTATAACGACCCCATCATTCCCCATGGCTACTTCACCACGTCCCGCCAGATAGCCTGCCTGTCACAGCGTCTGCCACTCGACTTTCTGCCGACCGCTCACAGCCTACCGGGTCAGGCAGAGCTCGAACAAGTGGAGAAACATCTGCGCGTCTGTCTCACGATCCACGATGACTCTAGCAGTCCGAGTCTCGTCACGCTGAGCCCGTCGGAACCCGTTCTGTCAGAGGCCGCTAGCGAGGTTATGCGGTACAACGCTGGCGAGGTCTTTGCGCCGCGCGTTTTGTCGCAGCTTATGCGGGACGCTGCTGTCGATGCGGGCGAGCGCGGCGAGATGGTCGGGATGCTTCTGCTGACGCTCGCACGGGATGCGGCCGTTCAATCGCTGGCCACACATCAACCTTCGAGCCCGAGTCCGGACTTCGTACCCGTCCTGTCTTTCCTCGAACATCTCTTCCACAGTCCTTCCTCTCCATCCGAAAACCCCTCCGTTGAGAACATCTTCGACGCAAAGCCCTCCGTCTACACATCCTCCACGTCCAAAGACGAAACCCTCGCCTCGGCCTTCGCCGGAGTATCGCTGCACTTCAACCACTTCATCAGGCGCGGCGCGCAGAAGCTCGACATGCAGGACTTCTTGAAGTTCTTCGTGCGCAATGCTGCGGTTCTAGGTCCTAGATCTTCGAGTCAGTCGGGGTTCGATTTGGGGTTTATGATGTGTAGGGGCCATTTTGTGCGGGAGGACGAGGCGGGGCTGTTTCTTGTTCGAGTTCTCAACGAGCCGCGGTCCAGCGCGAGTGCCGAGGAGGTCTTCCATCTCATGGACCCTGTACAACTGGGCATCCTCGCGCCCAGTCAAACACTCGCCGTCCCCGTCATCCGCCTCGTGATGTCCCTCGCTGGAACGACACCTGCGCTCACGTATCGCAAGTCGCAGACGAAAGGCGCGTTTACGGCGTACGATGTATATGCGTCGGGTCTAGACGAGAGCGTTTATGGTGTTGTTGGTGGGGAGGGGAGGTTGTGGGATGATATGCTCGGGGCTTCGAGGAGGGTTGGTGAGGAGCGTGGTGAGCGTGTGGAGGAGGTGGAGAGGAGGATGGCGCATGAGTCCGATGCTTGGTATAAGGTTGTGGGTATGTTGGATAGCGATTGAGCGGGCGTGTAAGGATGTCGAGATGGCGTGTACTCGAAACACCTGTTGTATTCACTCTGTTGTGTACCATACCCCACCTTGCCACAATGATTGAAGCCCCTTCGAACGAATGTTCACATAGACTGATGATGATAACCATATGCAACGTGAGTACAAGTACAGCAGTGATAAGATTAAGTTAATGCAGCGAGCCCAAAAGCAGAACGTGTCCCTCCAAGAATAAGTGGATCTGTAGGAGAGAAGAATAGTGATAGGAATAGAAATGGGGTTGGTGGTGGGGTATCCGTAGCGAGCACGCCTCACCACGCCGTCGTCCTTGCCGAATCAGGCGGGCACGGCACGTTCTCATTGCGCGGGAACGACCCCTCATCCGAGCGCATCGGGCTGCTCGACCGACTGCTCTCCCCACTAAGCCTGCCCTCCTCAAACACCGAGCCCTCCGCACTCGACGACGACGAACCAAACGGCGATCCGCCGACCCCGACGTACATCATCTCGAAGTACGACGCGATGCTCGACGCCGACAACGCCTGCCCCGAGCTCGCGCTCGAGTTGGAGTTCGCACTGGCGGCCGAGCGCGGCGCGCGCTGGCGGCGGCGGCGCGGGCGGGGCTTGCATTGCGGGCCGCTGAGGAGGATGTGCGCCGCGTCGGCGAGGGGCGTGTGCCATTCGTCTTTGACGTGCACGAGGGGCGAGGCGGAGAGGCGCATGAGGTCTTCGGGCGTGTAGATGCGCGGTTTGGGCGACATTGGCGCCGCGGGCGCTAGTGAGACTAGTAGGAAGGTTCGTCAGTATTTCACGAGTTGGCATCGAGTACAGAGGTGGGGTGAAGTACCTGGTGCGGGTACGCCGCGGCGCTCCCAGAGAGGGACGGACGGCTTGCGCTTGGGGAGAGAGGCCATGGCGTCGTCGCGCGAGCGCCATGAAGCGCTGACGGCGGCCGGCGAGCGTGTGGTGGACTTGTGCTTGTGCGCGAAGACGGAGAACTCGACGCCCTGCGAGCCGTAAGCGTACGTCGTGTAGTTGTCGAACGTAGGCAGCAGCGCGGCCGGGCGGCGGCGCGGGAAAGGCTTCGGCTGCGTCGCGGAGGACGGGGCGGAGGTCGAGGTCGTTGCGGAGGACATGATCGAGAATATAATTCGTTAGAGAACAGGGAGTCGTATGCGGCGAGGGATACGAGTTGTGTTGGATTTCTGAGAACTCAGAGGGCCGAGGGTCTTATAGAAAGAGGCCGCAGCGGTGGTACGGCAAGACGCCCAGACGCATCACACCACGCTCGGCCTGCGTCCGGCGATTGACTCAAGGCATATACCGGCATTCCAGTGCCCTCGCAGATCATCAGGGAAATGCTACAATCTACTCGAACGCGTCGAAAGAGCACTCGGATAGACAGGAAGGTGCGCGAAGGAAGTGGACGAGGTACATGCAGGTACGAGGTCAAAATAGAGATTGCGAGCCTCGTGGGCCACACCGAGCCTCGCCCGACGCCCGAACACGACGCGCGGCAACCCCCGACTGCCGCGTTTCCCAGCTCTCCGAGTCCAACCTCTAACGCCCACGAGGGAAACACGAAATAGTACTGCGCGCCACTGTACACAACTCTCCGCGCCATTCTCTCGCAGACTGTGGCGCCCGGACCGATGACGAAAGCGCGCTGGCGATGCGAGCGACTGTGCGCTCTGCCCTGTGCGCCCATCTTTCCTCATCCCTGAGCGACTCACGTACGCGCCTGCTCGTCGAGCTGTACATTCGCGCCGACCGCCGACGAGTGTGTGTGAATGATGTTGGGCTGGTTTGAATTGCATCTGGCTCCCGCCCAGCGAGACGGTGATGGTTCCAGTTAGACTCTGGTAAGTTGCTCGAGCGTTCAGACGCTCGTAATACCCGCGCCTAGTCCTCCCGCAATCCCCAAGTCCACCGGCTACACCGTCCGTTTATGGATTAGAGTACTCTCTATAAGAGGGCGATCTTGAGTATCGGCATGATTTACCGTGCAAGCGTATTTCGTTCAGGTCAATCTTGTTCACGGCATCGGCCGACTGCGAGCATGGGCAGGCTGGCGATCTCTACGCAACCCGCGTTCACAACACATATCGCCGATACGCGCGAGGAGTCGCACAAGGAGGACGCCAACATGGATGCAGTCATTCGGGTTTACACCGATGGGTCGGGCTACAAGGATCAGGCGGGCGCTGCTGCTGTTCTGGTGCGAACAGATGGAGTCCATGAATGTCGCCGGGTTCTGAGATACCATCTCGGACCCCTGTCGGAACACACGGTCTACGAAGCTGAGGCGGTCGGTATCATCCTCGGAGCGCACCTCCTGCTAACGGAGGACCCCGAACTTGCCTCGCGAGACTCCAGCATAAGCCTCGATAACCAGGCCGTCATTCGCGCAGCAGAATACATCCAACGAGCACAGCCGGGACACTATTTGCTCGACCATTTTCGAACCCTCACGGATCACCTGTGGCAGATTCGCGGGGCAGGGTACTCACTCGAGATGCACTGGATCTCGGGCCACGACGATGCCGAACTCAACGAGTTTGTAGACGGTCAGGCGAAGCTCGCCGCTGAAGGTCACTCGAGCCCCATGGACGACTTGCCTGCATTTCTACACCTCCCCCTCCGGGCCAGCCTCTCGGCCACACGCCAGGAGTACACACGACAACTCCATGAGCGCTGGCAGAGGGACTGGATGTGTTCGCCGCGCTACCAGCGGCACAAACACTGGGCCCCCGATGCGGCGACGAAGAGCCACATGAAGACGATCGAGAGCCTGTCACGCCGGGACAGCGCCGTACTATTTCAGCTGCGAACGGGTCACGCCCCTTTGAACAAACACCTCCATCGTATGCGCTGCTCCGAGTCACCGACCTGCGACGCATGTGGAGAGGCCGACGAAACCGTCCCGCACTTCATCTACGAATGCCAGGCGCGGCTGACCGAGCGACGCGCACTCCGCAAGGCCGCGGGCAAAAATTGGCGGAATCGAGCTTATCTGCTCAGCGACACGACGGGCGTGAAGGCCCTCATGGGTTATGTACGAGACACCGGGCGTATGCGGTGGAGTCGCCGGGAGGAGGATGACACACAGGAGGGTAATTTTGAGGATGGGGAGAGGAAGGAAGAGGAAGAGGTTGAGGACGAGGAAGAAGGAGAAGACGAAGAGGGGGCGAGGAGAGCGAAGGAGACGGAGGAGGTGGATACGACGATCGAGGGGCTCCTGAAGTGGTTTGAGAGGTTGCCCAGGGGAGAAGAACGAGGAGAACGAGACTCAGCGTGAGCGGGACGCCACGACTCGAGCCGCCTAGCGAATACGAACGAACTACGTCGACACCGACCACTCACCACACAACACCACGCTCGCTTCAAGTCCGCACGCGGCGCGAACGACACGACTAAGTAGACTCCATTTTCATTTCATGATATGCATAACCGTAGATACATTGTAATTCGTACAGTCCCGCGTA